CTCTGCTTCTCTGTTCTAAAATTCTGTCTGCTTTCATCTTACAAGACACTTGTCTTGGATGTAGGGTCCTCCTGGGTAATCTAGGATGACCTGACCTCGAGACTCTTAACTTCATCAACAAGCAAGGACCCTTTTTCTGAATCAAGTGACATTTAGAGGTTCTAGGGATTAGGCTGTGGACGTACATTTTTTTGGCCGGGGTCACCATTTCACTCACTACACCCTCAAACAGGAGAGTGCCTATATTTTTACTTCCCCACTCAGAAAACTCCCAAGGAGGTGCCTTGTTGGGCTTCATTTTATTCATAGGCTAACTAATCATGAGCCACTTCTCGCAGGGCTGGTGCAGGGATGTTGGGACATCACGACTGACCTGTCCTCACCCTTCACTTGCCTGTTTCTTAAGTAAAACAGATCCAATAGCACACACATGGCCCTTAGGGCAATTGTAAGCAGAGTAGGCACTCAAACGTGTCTTGGCTTATATCGAATATATGAATTTAGAATATATTCCTCTCTGTTTTTCCAGTATGGTCTCAGTCTAGCCTAATAGATTACTGAAAATATTCTCAAGCTAGACAGTATCTTTTAAAAGCACGTAGGTGTTCTGTCTGCTTTTTGCAAGTTCAAGGCCTTAGGTGCATGAGCTGGTTGCCTAGAAGCTGGTTCTTGATTCAGGAAGTTGTTTCCCAGTCTAGACACACGTTATGGTGCTTAGAAACCGAAGCTCTCTCTAAGCAGGCTTCCCAGGAGTTTTGTTTTCATCCCTAAGTGGTGATACATCAATGTAATCTTCTTCTTTGAAGAAATTATCTGCCATAACATTTGTTCTCTGAAAATGCATTATCTTTGATAGATTGCTGTAATCTACTCTTCCCTTAGCTTGTTGGTAATACAGTCTCTGTCTGTCATTTGTATTCTTACAGTATCTAGTTCTTAGATTCAAAACTAGAACTTCATAGTTAGGAGGTTTCAGTGGATATCAAGTACTCTGAGGTTTGCATCATATTCATATAGCTGCAAATTTCAGTCACCTGTACTAATACCCTACTAATGAAGAAAAATCTGTAGTAATCCTTTTGGATCGAATTGGTAGCTTCTCTTTTCTTAGATGAGAGAAAGCTAATGATGTATTATCAGTTCTAGATTATCCTATGAAGGTCAACTAGTAAAAACAGGGATGATGATAGGTCGTTTATTAAATTACAATAAATATTCAGCAGTAAAAATATCTCCCTATTTGTAGAACTACATAGCAAGCAAGTATCAGCATTATGTTTTCTACAAGATGACTTGCTTAACGGCATCTGGGTGCCTGGGCAAGTCCAGGAGAGCTCTGTGGTTCTGTCCTTGTAGCTACATCAGGACAGTCAGAGTGGAGAGTTTAGGGGGAGAGAGAGGGGGAGGGAGAGAGAGGAAGAGGCAAGGAGAGGGAGGGAGAGGGCGGGAGAGGGAGGTGGGACGATTAGGAGAATGACTATGCAGCTTGGGAGATGAATATGAGTTGTTTAACTCAGGTTCTAGTGTGATGTTTGAAGCAAGAAATGCCCAGCTCAGAAGTTGACAGCAGTGACAAATATTTTAAAATAAGTCTTTTTAGTCATAATTGTTAGGTAGTTTATTAATATTTGCTAATTTAAACTCTGTGCTAGTATTATTTATATATTTCTGTAAGGTAGTTTGTAGAACAGTAAATGCATTTTTAAGTGTTGGGTATAAATTTTATGAGGTAAATTTGTACAGGATCTTGTTTTTGGCATATTTTGATTAGTGTTTTTGAAATATGATTTTGAATTATGCATTATTTACTCCTTTGTACAAACTTATTCCCTTTCTTCTTATTTACTTGATGATATGGTCTTTGTATCATTATCCACAAAAAACTTAACAGATATTATGTGACTTTACTCCCTAGCAAAACCTTTCTTCTTTTACCATATTGGTCACAGAAATATCTGGAATGTAAACTCACTGGAGAGTAATACATTTCTTGGTCAGGAAAATGAGACAGGTATTTGTCTATCAATAAATTTCTTAGGCCTGCACCCAAGGATATACATAAAAGCAGGAAATTACAGAAAAGCTTTCAGAGACTGTTGGAAATTATTTGGTAGGCTAAGATTGTCGGTACTTGGGACAACTGGTGGCACTTAGGTCAACAGGTTCTCTGTGTCCTTGCATTAGTAGTTTTTGAAGCCTGGCTACACATGGAACTTTAGGGAACTTTTAAAAGAATATTAATGCCAGAATCCTACCCTTAAGCATAGTGACTTAATTGGCCTTGGGTATAGCCTGAGTATCTCTACTTTTTAAAAATTCCCTAGGTAATTCTAATGTTCAACTATAGTTGGAATCACTGATTTACATGAGTCAGATAATCTCTTTTTTATGTTTATGCCTTTCTTCCCTAAGTGAGAAAGTATATTTGGTTTTCTGTTTTTGGTTTAATTAGCTTAGGATAATGGCCTCCAGTTACATCCATGGTGCAGCAGAAAGACTTGATTTCGTTTGTTTTTATGACTGTATAGTATTCCATGGTGAATATATATCACATTTCTTTATTCAGTTCTCTGTAATCTAGGTTGATTTCATAACTTTGATATTGTGAATAGTCCTGTGGTGAACATAGAAGTACAGGTATCTTTTTGGTAGAATGATTTATGTCCTGTTGGGTGTATACCCAGTAATGAAATTGCTGGGTTGATTGGTGATTCTGTTTTTAGCTCGTTGAGAACTTTCCAAACTGCTCTCTACAGTCTGAACTACCCACAGTGTGTGTGTTCCTTTTTCTCTGTAGCCTTACCAACATCTTTTGTTTTATAACTTTTTTTTTTTTAAATAAAAGCCATTCTGACTGGTGTGAGTTGGTATCTCATTGTGGTTTTGATTTGCATTTCTCTGTTGATTAGTGATGCTGAACATTTTTTCATATTTTTTGTTAGTTGCCTGTGTGTCTTATTCTGAGAAGTATCTAATCATGTCCTTTGCCCATTTTTTATTGGAGTTGTTTGGTTTTTTATTTTCTGTTGATTCATTTAAAAGTTCCTTATAGTTTCTGGATATTAATCATTTGTTGCATGAATAGTTTGTAGATACTTTCTCTCATTTGTAGGTTTCCTATGTGGTCTGTTGAAGTTTCTTTTGCTTTGCAGAAGCTCTTTAGTTTAATTAGGTCCCCGTCATTAATTTTTGTCTTTGCTATGTCTGCTTTTGAGAACTTAGTCATAAATTTATTGGTTAGATCGATATCCAGAGTGTTTCCTAGGTTTTCTTCTAGTATTTTTATATTTTGAAGTCTTATATTTAATAATTTAATCCATGTTTAGTTAATTTTTATGTATTGTGAAACGAAAGGATGCAGCTTCATTCTTTTGCATGTGGTTAGCTGTTTTTTCCAGCACTATTGATTGAATGAATTAAGTGTCCTTTCCCCGTTGTTTATTTTTGTTGGCATTGTAAAGGATCAGCTTGTTGTAAGTGGGCAGCTTTATTTCTGGGTTCTCCACTCTGATTCATTGTTCTTTGTTTCTACTTTTGTATTAGTACCATGCTGTTTTGGTAGCCAGATAGTAAAGTTTACAGTTGGGTTATGTGAGGCCTTGGGCTTTATTCTTTTTGCTTAGGATTGCTTTGGCTATTTGGGCTCTTTTTTGGTTACAAATGAATTTTAGAATTTTTTTTTCTTGTTCTGTGAAAGATGACACTAGTGGTTTGAAAGGGATTACACTGAATCTGTAGCTCACTTTGGGCAGTATAGACATTTTAACGATATTGATTTTTCCAATCCATGAGCATGGAATGTTTTTCTATTTGTTTGTATTGTCTTTGATTCCTTCAGCAGTGTTTTGTAGCTCTCTTTGTAGAGATCTTTCACCTCCTTTGTTAATATGTTTCTATATATGTATATAGATTTTATTTTTGGCTATTGTAAATGGAATGCGTTCTTGATGTGATTCTCAGCTTGAACCTTGTTGGTGTTTAGAAATGCTCCTTTTTATTGTTGACTCTTTGTATACTGGAATGTTACAGAAATTGCTTATTATGTCTAGGAGTCTTTTGGCAGAATCTTTAGGGTTTTCTTTTTTCTTGAGTTGGAGTCTCACTTCGTGTCCCAGGCTGGAGTGCACTGACACGCTCACTGCCACCCCCGTGTTGACCTGCTGGACTCTGGTAATGCTTCTGCCTCAGCCTTCCAAATAGCCAGAACTACACGCTACCACTCCCGGCAAAGTTTTTGAGTCATTGTAGAGATGAGGTCTCTCAAAGTTGTCCAGGCTATTCTTGAACCCACCTTTAGGGTTTTCTAGATATAGAATTACATTATCTGTGAAGAGAGAGAATTTGACTTTCTATTTCTCTTTCTGGATGCCTTTTATGTCTTTGTCTTTTCTGATTGCTCTGGCTGGGACTTCTTGTACTATGTTAAGTAGGAGTGGTCAGAAAATCTCTATTAACAAAATCTCAAATGGCTGCGAGATAAAAATGTCCAGGTCCATTGTTCATGCTTCCCGTTGGTGGAGTTCATATTTACGTTTCAAAGAAGTTTACATTTTGGCCATTTTTATCAGTGTTTAACTGGCTGTATCAGCTGCTCACCAGTTCCAGAGCTGGGTATAAATTAGTGATTTTCCTCTTTGACCGGAAGTTTGTTAGATTACTTTTACAAACCCTAGTGTAAATCCAGGCCCCACTCAGACCACTAAGTTCAGAATCTGAAGACGAGACCCAGACGTTCGCGTTTCCCTTTCCCTTTCCTGTCCCTCCCCTTTCCCACTCCCTTCCCTTCTCCTTGTCCCTCCCTCCCCTCCTTTCCTCCCTCCCTGCCCCCGCCCCCCTTCTCCCTTCCCCTTCCTCCTTTCCCCTTTCACTTCCCTTCCCCCATTGGATTTCAGTGTCAAGCCAAAATTGAGAACCAGACTTGAGAATCTGAACAAATATTTGTTGACTTAATTTTCAAAGGCTCCAGTCAAGCACAGTCTCACTCTGTCTTTCTTTTTCAGGATATTATTGATAGACTTATAATTTTGAACTCTGAAGCTAAGATTCATTCTTTATTCAACTATGAACAATCACACATCTTTGGTCTAAGGTAAAGTGCTAAGTTTGATTGTAGATAGTATGTTCTGTATGTCACGAAGAGTTAAGCATTTGTTCTGTATACTTTAAAAAAGTGTTTAGATCAGCTAATTTTAAAAAGCAGATCTAAATGGTATTTGTCACAAAATAAATTATGGCAATTAGATTTTTGCACTGTGGATATGACCTCTGTCTGAATTTAGACTTTGTGTTATTGCAGTCTTCTGCTTATGCTTGATTTACTAGAAGCATCTAGTGAGCCGTTATCAGTTTACTCAGGAGTCCACTGTGGCTTCCCTGGACTGGCGTTTGGTCAGGCCCTTGGCATCATGCAGCATTAAAAGAGGCCTGGCAACGAATGATTCATCTCTAGGCCCAAGTGTTGCTCTTGGTGTTAGTCATTGCTTTTCGACTCTACTTTTCTGGAGGTTTGAGTCTCTTGGTTGAGTTTTATGTGTGTATGTATATATATGTGTGTATGTATATATATTTACCTTTTATTGAGCATGTTCAAATGGGAAATAAAGCAAAGTTGCTAGGGCCCCAGATACCCGTGACATTCTAAATCTTTTGGTCGTATGTAGCCATATAATTTGCTTCCTCATCCACAAATTGCTACCTTTATTTTTTTGTTTTAGATTCAGAGGATACATGTCCATATTTGTCACATGGACATGTTATGCAGTGGTGGGGGTTGGGTCTCAGGTGGCCTATTCCCCAGATAGTGAGCTTTGTGCCCTATAGGTAGTTGCTCAGCCCTAATCCCATCCCCCCACCCCCTTATTGGTATCCCAGTGTCTATTATTTCCATCTTTGTAACCATTTAGCGCCCACAAATGAGTGAGAACAAGTGGTATTTGGTTTTCTGTTTCGGAGTCAGTTTACTTAAAACAATGATCTCCAGCTCCATACATGTTGCTGCAAAGGACACGATTTCGTTCTTCTTTATGGCTGTGTAGTATTCCACGGTCATGGTATGGGGTGTGTGTGTGCGCGCGCACGTGCGTGTGTGTGTGTATATGTATCTCACATTTTTATTTATCCACTAGCTGGTTGATGGGCATTTAGGTTGGTTCCACATGTTTGCAGTTGTGAGTTGTGCTGCAATGCAAGTGCTGGTTTCTTTTTTATATAATGACCTCTGTTGCTCAGGGTAGATTCCTAGTAGTGGGGTTGCTGGATCAAATGGTAGACCTACTTTTAGTTCTTTGATTATACTCCATACTGCTTTTCATAGAGGTCGTACTAATTTATACTCCCACCCGCAGTGTATAAGTGTTCCCTTTCCTCAGTATCTGCACCAATATCTGTTGTTTTTTGATTTTTAAAATAATGGCTGTTCTAACTTGTGTAAGGTGGTATCTCATTGTGGTTTTGATTTGCATTTTCCTGATTATGAGGGGCATTGAGCATTTGTTCATATGTTTGTTGGCCATTTATATATCTTCTACTGAGAGATGCCTATTCATGTCATTTGCCCACTTATTAATGGGTTTATTTGCTTTTCTCGTGCTGATTTGTTTGAGTTCTTTGTAGATGCTGAATATCAGTCCTTTGTCAGATGTATAGATTGCAAATATCTTCTCCATTTTATAGGTTGCCTGTTTGTTCTGTTATTTCTTTTGCTGTGCAGAAGCTTTTAGTTTAATTAAGTCCCACTTATTTATTTTTGTTTTAGTTGCATCTCCTTTCGGGGTTTTAGCCATAAGTTCTTTGCCTAGGCTAATGTCCTTAAGATTTTTTTTCTAGGTTTTCTTCTAGGATTTTATGGGTTCAGGTCGGGCATTTAAATCTTTAATCTTATCTTGAGTTAATTTTTGTATGTGAGGAGAGGTAGGGATCAAGTTTCATTTTCTGCATGTAGCTATCCAATGTTCCTAGCACCATTTGTTGAATAGGGTACCCTTTTCCCAATGTATGTTTCTGTCTGTATTGTCAAAGATCAGTTGGTTGTAGGTATTCAGTTTATTTCTGGATTCTCTATTATGTTCCATTGGTCTGTGTGTCTGCTCTTGTACCAGTATCATTCTGTTTTGGTTAATACAGCCTTGTAGTATAATTTGAAGTCAGGTAATGTGATGCCTCCAGTTTAGTTCTTTTTTCCTAGGATTGCTTTGGCTATTCTGACTTTTTCTTGGTTCCATATGAATTTTATTTTTTTTCTACTTCTGTGAAAAATGATGTTGATAGTTTGATAGGGATTACATTGAATCTGTAGATTATTTGGGGTAATATGGTCATTTAAATAATGTTGATTCTTCTAATACATGAGTATGGGATCTTTGTCCATTTGCATGTGTCCTCTGTAATTTATTTCATCAGAGTTTTGTAGTTCTCCTTGTAGAGCTCTTTCACCTCCTTGGTAAAATATACCCATAGATATTTTAACTTTGGCTGCTATAGTAATGGAATTAAGTTCTTGATCTGAGTTCTCAGATTAGGGTCTTGAATTGAGTTCTTGGTCGCTATTGGTGAACAGCAGTGCTGCTGATTTGTGTGTGTTAATTTTGTATCCGGAAACTTTACCAAATTCATTTATCAAGTCCAGGAGTCTTTTGGAGGAGTCTTTAGGAGACTTCAGGTATAAGGTCATGTCATTTCATGAAGAGAGAGTTTTATCTCTTCTTTTCCAGTTTCGGTAGGCCTTGTTTCTTTTTCTTACCTGCTTGCTCTGACTGGGGTTTCCAGTAGTTTGTTGAACAGGAGCGGTGAACGTAGCATCCTTGCCTTGCTCCAGTTCTGAAGGGGAATGTGTTCACCTTCTCTAAAAGTTTTCAGGGTGACATTGCCAGTAAGTTGGTCACATATACGGCTCTTATTATTTTTAGGAATGTTCTGTCTGTGGCCTGTTTTGCTGAGGTTTTGAATCATGATGATACCGGATTTTATCATACTTTTTTCTAAAGCTCTTGAAATGAGCGTATGATTTTTGGTTTTGGTTCTGTTTATGTATTGGATCATGTTTATTGACTTGTGTATGTTGAGCCATTCTTGCATCCCTGGATAAAACTTGTTTGTTGTGGAGTATTACTATTGTTTTATGTGCTATTGAATTTGGTTTTCCAATATTTTGTTAAGGATTTTTGCTTCTATGTTCATAGGGGATATTGATCTGCAGTTTGTGTGTGTGTGTGTGTGTGTGTGTGTGTGTGTGTGTGTGTCTTTTTCTGACTTTCATATCAAAGTGATGCTGGCCTCACAATAAGTTAGGGGGGAATTCCTCGTCTTCAATCTTGTGGAATAACTTTGGTAAAATTGGTACCAGTTCTTCTTTAAAGGTCTGGTGGAATTCAGCTGGGGGTCCCTCAGATCATGGGATTTTTTTTTGTTGGGGGATTTCTGATTAGCGTTTAAATCTCACTACTTGTTATTGCTTTGTTCAGGTTTTCATTTTTTTTTTTATTCAAGGTTGAAGGGGTTGTATGTTCCCAATAATTTATTCATTTCCTCTAGATTGTTTTCACAGGGGTGTTCCCTTTTCACTTCTGATTGAGATAATTTGAGTCTTCTCTCTTCATTTCTGAACTAATCTAGCTAGTGGGCTATCAATTTTGTTTATCTTTTCAAAGAACCAACTTTTTGTTTCATTGATCCTTTGTATTTAAAAAAAATTTCACTTTAACTTAGTTGTGCTCTGATTTTTGTTATTTCTTTTGCTAGCTTTGAGTTTGGTTTGTGTTTTTCTGGTTTCTTAAGGTGTGATTTTAGTTTGTTGATATGTGGTCTTTCAGTTTTATTAATGTAAGCGTATAGTGTTGTAAACTTGCCTTTTAACACAACTTTGACTGTGTCCTGGAGGTTTTGGTAACTTGTTTCATTGTTGTCATTTGTTTTAATGAATTTTTAAATTTCCATCTTAATTCCATTGTTGTCCTAAGGATCATTCAGGAGCGAGTTGCCATATCTTTGTTTGGTTTCATGAGTTCTTCTCGGGGTAAATTTCTAGTTTTATTTCACTGTTATCTGAGGTGGTGCTTGATATGATTTTGTTTTTTTGGACTTACTGAGACTTGATTTGTGGCCTGTCATGTGGTCTGTGCTGAGGAATATTCCATGTGGTGATGAGAAAGATATATATTCTATAGTTCTGTACTGAAATGTTCTGTAGACCTCTGCTAGTTTTATTTTCTCTAGCGCCCTATTTAACTCCAGTGTTTCTTTGTTGAATTTTTGCCCTCATGCCAGTGGAGTATTGAGATTTTCTACTTTTATTGTATTGCTGTCTAGATCTGTTTTTTAGGTCTAGTAGAATTTTAAGGTCTGTTTGATCTGATATTAAATCAGCTACTCCTGCTTATTTTTGGTTTCTATGTGCATGGAATATTTTTCTTATCCCCTTTACCTTGTCTATAGGAGACTTTGTGAATTAAGTGGGTCTTTTTGTAAGCAGCAGATATTTGGGTTGTGTTTTTGTTTTTGTTTTTAAATCCATTCTGCCAGTCTGTATCTTTTTGTGGGGCATTGAAACCATTTATATTCAGAGTTAATCATAATACATAAGATACGAGTCTAGTCACCAGACAGACACGACAGTATAGGTGAGTAATATTCAAGAAGGTTGCTACTTTGATTAGCCTCCTTCCTTGCCACCTTTTCCCCTTTCCAGCGTATCCACCCGATCATTCCTAGCAACATGGAGATGTGTCTTTTGTTTGTTTGTTTGTTGAGTTGGAGTCTCACTCGGTCACCCATACTGGAGTGCAGTGGCCGCTCCCGGCCCCGCAGCCTCACCTGCTGGGCTCCGGTGATCCTTCCGCCTCAGCCTTCCGAGTAGCCGGAATTACAGACGCGCGCTACCATGCCCGGCTGATTTTTGATTTATTGTAGAGATGAGGTCTCACCAAGTTGCCCAGGCGGGTCTCGAACCCTCAGGCTCAGGCAGTCCACTCACCTCAGCCTCCCAAGGCGCAGGATTACAGGCTGAGCCACCGAGCCCGGCGGAGACGTGTCTTTATATGTCCTGTCTCGTGGTGAAAACACAAACAAAAAGGAATGCCCTGACCTCACGTCTCC